AATGGGTTTTCCCGGCGAGGTTCTTAACGAGGAAACAACTATGTGCTTCCTAAGAAGAATTCAACAGTATCCAAAGCTTCTTTTCAATCAACCTCGAATACTGGGGGGCATCACCCTCGGAGATTATATTTTCGAGGAAAATACTTCATGCCAAAGAGGGCCTCGATAGGAAAACTTTGTAATGGGCCAAACGGTCAGATGAACCGTGTCCATGTAAAATAGTCGAGCCTCGATGGAAAACTTATACGCATGTATCAATTATTCAAAGAAGAATTCTTTCTATATCAAAACACTTTGTGTCTCAAAGAAATTAGCTACTATACGAACATCATACTTGTGATTCTGCGGGAAATGGCTCAAGTGCCAAAATGCGAATACACCTCGAATACTTGGGGACTGTCATCTACAGTCAACACATTCGAATATCGAAACTCGAATTTATAAGACCTCAAAGAGGCATCCCTCGACGCAAAGGACAAGGCCATCATACTCGGGGACTAACCTTTCCGAAAGGTTATCGGGAAATAAGTCCAAGAGACACACCCGAAGGCTACGGCCATATTAAAGAATAAAGTCATATAAAAAGGCTACGGCCGAAATAATACGGCTTGGAGAGACGTCCGACTTCCGCCATAAATTAAAGGCCTTCAAATACTTTGAAAAACTGGTTAAATAAGGCTACCCTCTGCATAGCAAATAAAAAGGGGCTTCGAGAAAATCAGCCCTCTAATAATTTAAAAGCTTCGATAATGTTAGCCTTCGAAAAAGCCTCAAGAGGTATTAAATTATCTTAACACAAACGGGTTATGAAAAAATTTAGTTCCGATCGATTGAACCCTCGAAAAACCCAATGGGTACAAAAAAACACATGCTAAGGCATAAAGAAATTTTCATTAAGTCTTTTAGCCGAAAAGAGGGAAAAATTACAGCTATTTTAAAGGCTGAATTGGCCTAACTTAAAGAGCCTAAGGGCCAACCTAAAAGAGCCTAAGGGTCAATATAAAAGTGCCTAAGGGCCAATATAAAAGAGCTTAAGGGCCGATTTAGTAAGCCTAAAAGGTCGATACACTTAGAGTTTGAAACCTTGTTCTCACTCAACTTGGATCTAAGGGTCCCATCATCCCGAGCTTGCATCAAATCAGCTTAAGCACAGCTCGAGAATTCGTCAAAAAACCTTAAGAGGTATTCCATTATAAGCTCAAAGATCACCCATATATTGTTAAAAAACCTAAGGGTTTGTTACACTCTGAGGCCGAGCCAGTGCTCGCTCGATCATTGAAGTTATAACATCAAACTTATTCACAAATCGAAGACAAAGCAGGATTAAAAACAAATCGAGGATGGAAAGAAAAAGAATTTCTTATATTCATAAAAGGTATTTACAGTGCCCACAAGGGGACTTTCACAAAAACAACAAACAAAAGAGCCTAATCTACTTTGGGAGCCACATCCTCGGGAGCCACATGTTTGAGAGCCGCATCTTCGAAAACCTCCTTCTCGGGGACTTCATCCTCGCCTCCTTCTCTCTCGGAGCCACTAGCGGAATCTTCATCATCGGAGAGTAAAGCGGTAGACTCATCCTCCAAAGTTTTTTCCTTTTCAATATCAGCTGAGAGGTCAAAGCCACGAGCGTGCACCTCCTCGAGAGTTTTTCTTCGGGATTGTCGCCTGGCATGATCGAGAGCACATGACAATTTAACTTCAGCAACAGAGGAGATTTCCTATGCTCGAACGTTAGCAGCCTCGGCGTCCGCTCGATAAGAGGCCACAAGTGCCTCTGCCGTAGATATGGCCTTCGCAAGCTCAGCAGCTGATTTAGCTTCGAGCTCCTCGATCTTTCGGCTCCGGGCCAAGCTTTCCCCCTTTACATTTTGAAGTTGGTGTTTGATCGATGTCAGCTGGTCTCGAAGTGTGTCTTTCTCCGAGGCGAGACGATCCATATGTTGCTTCCACCCTAGAGTCTCGGCCTCTTTCACCTTGAACGCTTCTCGAGCTGCTCCACCAGCTCCCCCTCTGCTGGGCCTGCAAAGTTGAAGTGTTAATCGCTAAATCAAATAAGTACATAACAGACCTCCAAAGGCTACATTACCTTTTCAATGAGCTCAGTCTGTTCTTGACGAGCCTTCGCCAATTCAACTCGGAGGTCCCTGGACTGATCCTCTTTCTGTACATAGAGGCATTTGAGGTCGTCCCTCTCTTCTACCAGCTTCTTGAGTTCGGCTTCGCATCGGGCAAGCTCGTCTCGAGATTTGGAAAATGCTTGTCGATGAATTGCCACGACCTTCATAGAAAGAAAAGGAGCCAGACTTAGAAAAACAAGAATAAAACTCGAGCACAATTATAGAGGTAGAAACTTACTTGTTTGAGAAGCCACTGAGCCTCATCAAAGATAAACGAAGCATCCGGACGGGACCATCTTCGACCCCTACAAGGCACTCCCGAAAAATATCACTCCCTTCGTGGGTCGTTCTCACATCGGGAGTCCTCATGGCCTGGGCATCTCGGAATTGCCCTTCGGAGAACATAGGTCCGGGCGGCAATTCATCTACGTTGATTATCCCAAGTTATTCACTAGGGACATTATCATCTCTTTGGAAGGCCTCGGGACTAGGCCCCTCGGGCTCACCCGCCAAATGACCTCCAAGACGAGGTGATCTTTTGCCGCTTGATGGCTCGGAGACTCTGCTCGAACTCACCTCCGAGATTTCTTCAGTTCGAGAATTAACCGTATCAGCCATCACCTGTTCGGCAGATTTCGAAGCCTCAGTGCTTCCTCTTTTCCGAGCTACCAACAGGCGGTCGTCACCTTCTCCTTCCTCCTCATCATCCCGAAGGTGTTGGACCATTTCTGCAGATCGGCCCTAGGCTTTCGAGCCTTACTTTTCTTGGGCTTTGGGGAACTCGCAGGCGAAGCCCTTTTCCTTTTCCTTTTCTTCTTTTTGGTTGACTTTGGTATTTCTTCTTCATCGGGCGGGGGCGGCCGTATAGCAACGATGTCTCTGAGGCCTGCGTAAGAGTAAAATTAGTATTTCACTGAGAAACACCAATATATGAATAAGGGAACTGACCATGGTTTTTAGCTTCCCACCGAACCTTGGCCAAATCACGCCAACTACGTTCCCTATATGAAGAGGTGGAGGCCAGTTGTCAGACCCAACCCTCGAGGTCCGGAATTGCACCAGGGAACTAGGGGGAAGCTGCATCATCAAAAGGGAGTTAAATCGAGGAAGAATGGGGAAAGCAGAATATTAATCATCATCAATAAATTTGTACTTACGTTTCATGTTCCACTCCTCGGGGAATGGCATCCTCTCAGCAGGAATCAAATCGGAAGTCCTAATTTGGACAAACCGGCTCATCCACCCTCGGTCTTTGTCTTCATCGATGCTAGAAAATAGCGACTTCAAGGATCGACGCTGGAGCTTTATCAGGCCACCTCGATAAAGGCGAGGGTTGTACAGTCCAATCAGGTGTTCGAGGGTAAAAGGCATCCCCTCAATCTGGCCCGAGAAATACCTGATCAAATTGGCGATGCGCCAGAAAGAAGGATAGATTTTGCCAAGCGTCACCTGGTATTGTTGGCAGAAATCAAGAATGACTGGATCTATGGGACCCAGTGCTGGATCTACGGGACCCAATGTGAAAGGGTAAGTATACACGCTTAAGGACCCCACCTTATGGGAGGTGATGTCCTCTTCGGGGGAAGGAATCACGACATCCTCATCCCCCCAATTACAATCCGCTTTCACCTGCTTGAGTTCATCTTTAGTTATCACGTAGATGTATCGAGACATGGGTTCGCATCGGCCTGGAGCCGATTCGGGCTTATCAATTTGGAAATCGAAAGATAGCTCGCATTGCCCGGGAATACATTCCTTGATACGAGGTGGCACCATCGTTCTACCTCTGGCCGACCGTGATGAGGAGGAGGCTTTCTCTTTCTGAGGAACGATTTTAGATGTTTTGGCCATTACTGTTAAGGAATTCAAGAAAAGAGAAGGAGTTGGTACTGTAGCAAGAACAAGTTGAAGAAAGGATGAATTCAGGAAAGATGGAGAAACTAGTGAGGTTTTGAGAAAGATTTAAGAAGTAAAGAGTGTAAACGTTGTGAAATTAAACTATTTATAGTGATCATTTTACGGTCTGGGAAGCCAACGGCCAACCATCAGCCACCTTCAATTAATGGCGTTAGGAACTATGCAGACGCGACCTTTCAATCACTTCAGTCGCTGACATCACGAGATTGACGTCATGATCGAGGCATCAGAGGATCGAGGATCAAATCGTTTCTTATCGTCTTACTCTAAGAAGCGCAGGGACTATTTGTATACGGTCGAAATCAGGTATGCTCGATTTTATGGGCTCGAAGAGTCGCTTCAAGCCCGAGTTCAGGATGGATCGAGTTCGAGACCGATGGACTAAGCCCGAGCCCGATGACAGAGTATAAGGCTCGAAGATTGGAGTACGCGGCGAAGCACCGAAGCCGAGTATGACCGACCCCGAGATGATGCCGTTACGGGTTTGTTACAGAAAAACAATATTCCCGCCACGTCCCCAAGATCATGGTGTAAATTCCGGAATAGATTCGTACGAGTTAGTACGAATCCGTACTAGGCGGTTATACAACTGTCCCAAGAAGATTCTTTACTGTAAATAGAAATGTAGCTTATTTCGGGTTCCCCTATTATATAAAGGGGACCCCAATCATTTGTAACCATCATCAATTATTAGCAAAGAATATACTCTTTTACTTTATTGCTCATATTTCATCAGCATTGTCCCTTAGCTTCTTTGTCTTTATTTTACTGTTCTTGTTAACGAGCCTCGAGGCCATCACAGCTCGAGGTCGAGACTTACTTAAACACTGGTTTGATTCAACTTACTTCTTTCATTTGTACTTCAAATTTTTTGGTGATTAATTAGTATTGAACTAAATCACGCATCTATAAACCATAAACAAATTTAATTGTTACTTGTATTTTTGAGGTAAACACACTGAGTGTTCTTGGCCGGAATCCAGCACTTCAAAACTACCGTGAGATGCCGATCGTCGGCGGTTCTGGTGTTTTCCGGTTGGCTCAGGGGATCGCCACTGCTAAAACCTATTGGATTAATACAACCAGTGGGGATGCTATTGTTGAGTATAATGTTATAGTCCAGCATTTTGACATTTGATGCTTTGTTTTTTGATTTTCAATATTTGTAATTTTCTGTTTCATTATGTTCATACTTCTAGTAGTTTCTGTATTTATTCATTAGGATAAAGATGTCCACTGACTACTGAATATCGATCAAATAAAACCTTAAAGATTTTAAAAAAGAAAATATTGCAGCAACTAATCCCCTAATACTTTCTTTCTGCTGCTTAATATATGCAAATTTTGAAAATATTTATGTCCTTGGCGAGAACTTAGTCAATGAGGTCTAGAAACAACGTAAAGTTCACAAAGGTACAGGTGTCCCTGTGTGCGTGGAATTTATGAGGTCAAAGGTCATGTAGAAGTATAGCTACCCACCAGGCCACGTGGCACGAAACTGCAAATATATACTACTCAAAAAATATTATTTGTTTGAATTGGGTGTTGTTGCGCAAAGAATTGAGATTCTCTCTACGTCTCTCTCTATCTTACAATCCCTAATTTCAGTAATGTAAAGCAAAGGAAAAGAGAGCAGCAATTCCACTATTGACAGTCATTAAAAATCATTGAAGCTTTGAATTCGAATTTGGATTTTTAAAGACCATTATTTGTTTGGATTGGGTTTGTTGCGAACAATTGGGAATATGGTTTGGAGCTTATATCTCAATTTTGAGGGTGTTTTGGTGAAGATTAGACTTGATTTTGGCTGAATTTCAGATTGAAACTCGAAGAAGAAGAAAAGAAGACATGACATACATTATATTTGCGAAATTGTAGTAAAATTGTAGAAAAATTATATTCTGATGTAGTTATATATACTTTTTATTTAAATATTGTATGAAAGTTGAATAATGTTGTATAAAATTTGTATAAAAATTGTATTTAAGTTGTATGATATTGTAGTTGTATATATGTCACGACCCGAATTTCCCCACCCTCGGGGGTCGTGATGGCGCCTACTCGTAGAAGTTAGGCAAGCCACAAATCATAAACTCCTACTTACTTTATTTTAAATCCTTTTATCAATCATAACAACAAGCGTTAAATATTTAAATGACAGCGGAATATGAAATTAAAGCGGAAGACTTAAATTAAATAAGCTGAACACTAATGCGGAATTCAACATGTGCCTCTACCCAAGAACTGGTGTCACATCATCCACGGACTACTAAGAGTACTAAATACAATCGTTTGAAAGAAATATAACACTGTTTGTCTCGAAAACATGAGATAACAGAATGAAATATAAGATAGAGGAGACGCCGGGCCTGCGGACGCGTGCAAGGCTACTTCGGAGTCTCGGTTGACTGAAGGTTGGCTCCCGAGCTACTGCTGCTGTCCAGGACCTGGATCTGTGCATAAGAGCACAGAGTGTAGTATCAGCACAACCGATCCCACGTGCTGGTAAGTGCCTAGCCTAACCTCGGCGAAGTAGTGACGAGGCTAGGACCGGACCACCAAATAAATCTGTGCAGTTATATAATATACAACAGAAAGTAAAGCAGGAATAAACAAGTAAGGATGGGAGGGGGAAACATGTTGCGGGGAGATAACAGTTGAAACAGAATCTCAAGAGAATTATCACGAAACCAAAATTCAACTTCTAACAAGGATAAGGAAAACAAAGGCAGGTCTCACTCTCGGTTCACAACTCGTTTCAGGCGTGCAACCCGATCCCATTTTATTAAATCTCGTGGTAGGTGTACCACCCGCTCCCATTTTATTAAATCTCGTGGTAGGCGTACCACCCGCTCCCATTTTATTAAATCTCCTGGTAGGCGTACCACCCGCTCCCATTTCATTAAATCTCGTGGTAGGCGTACCACCCGCTCCCATTTCATTAAATCTCGTGGTAGGCGTACCACCCGCTCCCATTTCATTAAATCAACAGTTCTTCCAAATGAAATTTACTCCAACAAACGCAACAATTAATACGAATTCATAAGACAACAAGTACACAATAATTATGACTCACTGAGGAAAATAAGTAATGACAAGTACCAATTAATTATGGACTTTAAGGAGCAAATAGGCAATTTAATATTTAGTATGCTAAATGTCAAGTAGCAATTAAGTCACATAAACATGTAGCAATTATAGCATAAATTCAAGGCATAATGTTGCGCAAGGATACCTCGAGCCAATAATAACAAGTAACACAATAAGGAAAAATGCCAACATAAAGAATCACAGTAATAGTGGAATAAGACAATTAATGTACTTGAACCGATAACAACAAGAAAAAATCAGTAAATAAAAGTAAAGGACAACATAACTCAATTATCAGCAAGAATCGGGAAAATCAAAGACAAGTGAACGGCATCACCTTTCGTGCTTTTACTCTCGGCCTCACCAAGCAATAAGATAATGAAAATGTGCACGGCATCACCCTTCGTGCTTTTACTCTCTTTCCTCACCAAAGCAATTAGAATAATAAAATGTGCACGGCATCACCCTTCGTGCTTTTACTCTCTTTCCTCACATATAATCAATAGAATTGGCACGGAATGGTACATCGTGCGGCACGGCATCACCCTTCGTGATTTACACTCTTTCCTCACAATAGCAAACAATGCACAACATCACCCTTCATGCTTTAACACTCTTCCTCACCCAAACAACAATCACAAACAAGGGCAAGGAAAATAAACAAGAACATATAGGAATCTCGGCAAGGAAACAACGATTTAACAATTAAATCCCGGCAAGGGAGCAACAAGTAAATAATTAAATCCCGGCAAGGGAACAACAATTAAATAATTAAATCCCGGCAAGGGAACATTTCAATAACTCTTTCTCTATCTTTCACTTGTACTCCATAACTCACTTTACCACTTGAGCCAATGCTCCAAAGGGTTCAATCATCTCATATACTTTCACAATTTATAATATAACTCAAGCCAATGCTCCAAAATGTTCAGAGGTCTCGATTCCTTCCACAAACTTTTCACAACAACTAGAAATCATCACCAAAGCATGAAGAACACAATGAAATCATGAAAATCACAATATAAGACTCACGGTCATACTTGACACCAACGTATAGATACTCGTCACCATGCCTATACGTCGTACTCAACAATTATCACATAGCAAATAGAACTCAACTCCTAATCCCTCAAGCTAAGGTTAGACCAACACTTACCTCGATGCCTTGAACACAACTCAAGTCTTAATTATAGCTTTACCCCTTGATTCCACCGTCAATTCGCTCGTATCTAATCACAAATTACTTAATTACATCAATAAGTGCTAAATGAATCAACCCCAATGCATGAAAATGAGTTTTCCAAAGTTTTACCCAAAAAGTCAAAAATCGCCCCCGGGCCCACGTGGTCAAAACCCGAGGTTCGAACCAAAACCCGATTACTCATTCCCCCACGAACTCAAATATATAATTTGTTTTGAAATCGGACCTCAAATTGAGGTCCAAATCCCCAATTTTTGAAAAACCTTGGTTCTACCCAAAACACCCAATTTCCCCCATGAAAATCTTTGATTTTAGGTTGAAATCATGTTAAAAGATGTTAATGATTGAAAGAAATGAGTAAAAACTAACTTACAATTGATTTGGAAGAAGACTTGTTCTTGGAAAATCGCCTAAGTGTGTTTGGGTTTGAGAAAATATGAAAAATGGGGTTCAAAATCGTTTAAGTGTAAAATTGTAGGTCTCAGATGTGGGAATTGCAAACACGGGAATTGCGAAAAAAGTTTGGGAAATGCGAACAAGCCTGGGAATTGCGAAAAATGTTTGGGAAATGCGAACCTGGGAATTGCGAAAAAAGTTTGGGAAATGCGAACAAGCCTGGGAATTGCGAAAAATGTTTGGGAAATGCGAACCTGGGAATTGTGAAGAAAGTTTGGGAAATGCGAACAAGCTTGGTAATTGCGAAAAATGTTTGGGAAATGCGAAGTCTGCAGGCCTGCAATTCCTTAAGTCCAAAATTTCACCCCGTGGCCTATCCAAAACTCACCCGAGCCCTCGGGGCTACAAACCAAATATACACACAACCTCAAAAATATTATACGGACTTATTCGTGCGATCAAATCGCCAAAATAACATCATTATCAACAAATTAAGCCTCAAAATCAAAGCATTTTTCTCAAACTTCATCAAGTATCAAATTTAGCAATTTAAGTCCGAATCACGTCAAACGACATCCGTTTTTCACCAAATTTTACAGAAACATCTTAAATGATATATAAGACCTGTACCGGGCATCGGAACCAAAATACGGGCCCGATACCAACACGTTCTAATCAAATTTCATTTCAAATTTCCTTAATCAATTTCAGAAAATAATTTCCTTTAAAAATTCTTTTCTCGGGATCGGGACCTCGGAATTCGATTTCGGGCATACCCCCAAGTCCCATATTTTCCTACGGACCCTCCGGGACCGTCAAATCACGAGTCCATATCCGTTTACCCAAAACGTTGACCGAAGTCAAATTAACTCATTTTATAGCCAAATTTTACCATTTTTCACAGATTTTCATATTTAAGCTTTCCGGCTACGCGCCCGGACTGCGCACGCAAATCGAGGTGGCTGTAAACGAGGTTTTCAAGGCCTCGGAAACACAGATTTTAATTTAAAGCAAGTGATGACCTTTTGGGTCATCACATTCTCCACCTCTAAAACAACCGTTCGTCCTCGAACGGACAGAAGAAGGAAGTACCTGAGTCGGGAAAAAGATGGGGATAACGGCTCCGCATATCTGACTCGGACTCCCAGGTCGATGCCTCAGGAGGCTGACGTCACCACTGAACACGAACAGAAGGAAAACTCTTCGACCTCAACTGACGAACCTGCCGGTCTAGAATAGCCACCGGCTCCTACTCGTAAGACAAGAATTTCAACTGGATCAATGAACCTAGGGCTAAGCTTTCCCTTCTTCCCAAATCTCATCACGCCCTTCATAGGCGACACTCGGAGCAATACCCGCTCTCCAACCATAAAAGCCACATCTCGAACCTTGCGGTCTGCATAACTCTTTTGCCTGGGCTGAGCTGTACGAAGCCTATCCTGAACGATCCT